CACGCGCGCGCCCAAGGCGGCCCCGATCGCAGACGCCGGCAGGCAATGCGGCCCGCCCGCCAAGAGAACGAAGAACTGCGATGTCATCGCGGAACCAGAACCCACTGCGGGCGGGTGCCGAAGATGCTGGAGCAAGCGGCAGATCTGGAGCCGACAGAACTCCAGATGTCCAGTCAGTCCTGCGACGCGCAGAGCAGATGCGCATCGCCAGGAGGCCCGCGGCCCTCCTTCCGAACAAAATATACCACCTCCTCTTCCTCATATTCCCCCTCCTCTTCCTCCTCCGTCGCCCTCCTGTGCAGGAGGGCAGAAGAAGTCGCAGCTGGGTGTTGTTACTTTTTCAAAGGGCAGGTCTGCGGTGACCTCGCCGCCTGGGTTTACGGCGGTACGAAGAGACTCCGCGAGCGTAGCGCGGCAGCGAAGACCTGCGGACAAGTCGCATCTGCTCAGCGCGGCGAAACTATGCGATCTACGCAAAGGGCCGAACGGCACCAGCACCGCCCGCTTAGCGGTTGAACGGCCCGCCGACTGCAATTGCTGAGGTTATTTGACGGGGGCGGCGCTTAAACGCATGATAAGCGCACGCGTGCGATATTGCCTTTGCTGGCCAACTCCCGCCGTTGCCGCCGCCGCCGCCGACGCAGGTGGTGCACGTGCGCAGGCGCGCGCAGTGCGCGTGCAGCGCGCTATGTGACTGGACGCGGTGCGCGCGCGCAGGCGGATGCACGGCGCGCGCAAGGTAAGGCATGGATGCGCATGACAGTTATACATCATATTACATGTATTATACGTATGAGAATGACCCTTCAACCTCCGCTCAGAACTCGAATGCGTTGTGAGAGCCTGCCCGCAGAGATCCACGCAGGAGTTGATTCGGCCCTGGAAGGGAGCTCCTCAGAAAGCATTTTTTTTGAACAATTCTTTCGACAGAGTTATTTCGTGACCTTTTGTGCTAAATCAATAAGAAAATCAACGGACTAATTCTTTCGAAAGAATTCTTTCGAAAGGAGTTTGTCTGGAGATGTCCGTGCGGAGGTGGGTCGGTGGTGGGATCGGTCCGACGCGACTTCTGACAGCTGCCTCACCTTCCTCGGATTGGTTGTGAAATCGGTCAGACGCGATTTCTGACAGGCGGCGTTGCTCTCCTCTGCGGAACCAACATGGCCGCGCATGCGGCATCGATGCCTGCATGTCGCTTCTCCTCCGTCTGACTTCGCCTCCACCATTCTGCCTATCCTTTCCCCCCCTTGAAGCGGCGCCTCCTGTGCACGAGGTTGATTTTATGGCGACGTGTGTTTTTGCGTGGCGCGCGGCCACCAGCGCGTCGCAGGGCGCGCGCTGCGACGAAGAGACTGCCTCAGGCGGCCTGCTCCTTGCCGCCGTCTGGCTTGGAGCCGCCGTCGCCCTTGTCCGTGTCGCCCTTCTGTTTCTTCTCGGAAGGGCCGTCGCCGACGCTCTGCATGTCGGGTTTGCGTTTCTTGCTCTGGTCCTCCTGCTCAGCGGTGGGACCTGGGATCTCTTTGTCAGCGGCGGAGGTGGGCTGAGCGGCAGGGTCTGGGCTCTCTCGCTCAGCAGCGCGCTGTTGTCCTGCGGTGGCGTCGTACGCTGCTTGGGCTGCCTGAGCTTGTCCCCTTGCTCTGGCTTAATTCTCCGGGCCCTTCAAACCCTCGGGCGTCGTCGGGGCTGGACGAGCAGTCTGCTGCCTCATGGCTGGGGGCCGTCGGCGTCGGCTGGGGCAGCAGCTCGGTGGGGGTCGTCGGCTGCGGCTGAGCTGCCTCCTGGCTGGGGGCCGTCTGCTGCGGCGGTGCCGCTTCCTCCGTCGGCCGCGGCGGAGCCGCCTCCTGGCTGGGAGGGGCCCTGTGCGCACCCCGCGGTGCCCTTTTCGCAGGTGGTCGGCTTTGTTTCCCGCGCAGGCGCCGCAGGTCGGTTTGCGCTGCTGCTGCAGTTGCCCCGGGCGCCTGCGTCTCTGCCGCGGCCTCTGCGGCGGCGGGCTCCTCCTCGGTGGTTGGCCCCACTGGCGTCGCCATGCCGTCGGCGCTGCTGCTGGCGGCGCCCTGCTGCTCTCTTTTTACGGCCTGGTGGATCCTCTGCATGTTCGGCACTTGCATGGAGATGATCTCGCATTCGGAATCAGAGTCGTCTCCAGCCTCGCCCTTCACTGCAAGCGGGTTCGCTTCGGATGCAGCTGCTGTCGCTGCCATTTGAATTTCTTCCTCAACCGTCAGCGGCCACTCTTCTGGACTCTCAGAGTCGGTTCCGATGCTGCCTCCGCCCCCCCCCCCCCCCCCCTGTGCCTGCCACCTCGCATTCTGATGGGGCTTCGGCTGCGCCTGGCTCTGCTGCTGGGGTGGCTGCCGTACGCGGCGGCTCTGGAGGGAAGGTGTGCCCCCACTTCGCGGCTGCGTGGCGCGCTGCCTGGGGCGGCGGCGGCGGCTGCTGCCCTGCTGCGGTCTGCGGCGGCGGCGGTGGCGGCGGCGCCGCTCCTGCTGCGAACTGCACGATGGGGAACGGCAGCGGCTGCAGAGTGGCCTGAGGCATCGCCGCCTGAGGCCAGGCATGCCGCGGAGGCGTGCACGGCATCACGATCACTTGCGGCTGCTGCTGCGGCTGCTGTTGCTGCTGCTGCTGCTGCTGCTGGAGCGCGCGCCCGACCTCCTGCGCCACCTCATGCGCCGTGGGTGCTGCCGCAGCTTGCCTGAGCGTGCCCATCATGTCAGCATTGGAGCGGCTGGCGGTGGAGCGGCTGGCGGGCGGGGGCCATACTTGGGCTTCGGTTTCAGCGTAGGCGGTGGCATCACTGGCGGGCTTTTTGGCGCAGGCTTCGGGAAGAACGCGGCGTCGCCATGACGCGCTGGTTCCGTGTCAACCTCGAAGTGCACGATGGGGGTCCGCCATGGGCCTGCAGTCATGGGGCCCGTGGGTTTCGGCCTCGGGGGCGCGAGGACGCGCCCGTGCTCTGCGATCTCTGAGGCCTCGCGCTGCTTGATGTGCTGCCACCGCCTAGGAACGCCCTCCTGCACAGGAGGGGCGCCCCTGTACAGGATGGCAAGAATGAGGGAAAAAAGCAAACCATCCTAAGCTCGTTGCAAGCCGATCGCGGTCCGCGGCCGCTAGGCGCCGCGCTCTTCTCTCTTCCTGCCCTTAGTATTATTATTCGCGCCCTGCGTCTTTTTCGGGGGCTCATAGAGGCCGAAGGTTGCGCTGTGGCGGCGGTTGGCACTGCTCCAATCCTGGCACTTCAGCGAGAGGCACAAACCGCTGCCGATGCATTTCGCTTCGCCGCAGTGCCTGCATTTGCTGGGCGGGCGGCGCAGGTGCATGCCGAAGGGGGCCTTGCGCAGCCCGCCAAGCTGCTCGCCCTCCTCATCCTCCTCGTCGTCGCCCGCGAGGTCGACGCCGCAGCCCCCGGGGTCGTCGCCGTGCTCGCGGGGGCCACCTCCTCCAGGCGGGCCGCCGCCAGGGGGGCCATCTCCTCCAGGCGGCGCCGCGCGCTGGCCGACGTCCATCGCCTGGCGGATCTCTCTCTCCTTTTCCTCCTCCTCCTCCTCCTCCTCCTCCTCCTCCTCCTCCTTCCTCCTCCTCCTCCTCCTTCCTCCTCCTCCCCCTCCTCCCCCCCCCCCCCCCTGCGGCCATCTGCCAGTGCTGCCCGCGTTCTCTCCTTCCCCCCCCCTTCCCCTGCTGCTAATGCAATCGCCTTGCCGGTCAAGGCCAGCAGCAGAGCCAAGGGGAGCACGGCTGCTGCTGGCGGCATGCCTCGCGGCGGCCTCGATGCTCGGGCAGGCCCGCCCCGGGCCCTCGCGCGCCCTGTCTGGGCCCTCGGCGGCCTCAGAGCCGAAGCGTCTTCAAGCAGGATCAGCTTGGAGCTCTCTTTCCCTGGCGCCCACTTTCCCCCTTCCCGGCGCCTTCCTGCGCAGGAGGGAGGGGGGGGGGGGGGGGGGAAGCTGTCGCAGCGCTTCCGTATTACGCTAAGCTGAACAAGCTGTTGATTGAAAGCACGTTACCAGTGTAGACATGACCATATCTACGACACATATATACCCATATCTACGATACATATACATATAAACATGTGTATACATATATATTTATATATATATATATATAGCATAATGCCGACTATGTATCGAGCGCACATGTTTGCGGCAATGCGCGCGCGCGGGCGCGCGCATGCGCGCGAGTGCGCGCGCGCGCGGTCGCCGTCGCCGTCGCCAACGGACGCCCGTCGCCGCCCCGCCGCCGCCGAACCTCGCCTGCATGGCGCGCATATGCGTATTCATGTGCGCTCATATGTGCCGCCCCCGAAATATCAAGTTCGCTTGCAGTCGGTCCGCCGCGCCAACCGCCGAGCAAGAACGGCCTAGCGCCGCTTTCGCCCCAGTGAATCTATAGCACGCACCGCGCGGCATCCCTCGCAGAGAATCCAGGATCTCGTTGCCCTTCCGCTTGCAGAGGGGTCGGTTGCAGCCGCGTAAACGCGAGCCCCGCCAGGGGGCCTCCTGCGGGGCTGTCTATGAGGTCAGGAAGCGCGTGAGGGCTGCACCGAAATGCTCCCCATTGCGGCGGAGATCTGCGCCGGCAGCTTCCTTTTGTTCTCATGCAGCAATTTCACGAGCTCCTCCGCCACCTTCGTCTTCTCTTCCATGCTGTAGCGGTCGGATTTCTTGCCGATAGAGCACACCTGGCGCTTGTTGCCGAAATTCTCCCGCACGGCGCTGCGCCCGCCCCTCTTGCGCCACATCGCGGTGTATTTCCGCTCGGGGGCAGCCGTTGCAGCGGGCTTCGCCTTCTTGACCGCGGGCGCCTCCAGTTCCTCCACCTCGACCTCGTCGGGCTCGGGCTGCCCCCCCCCCCCCCCCCCCCTCGTCGCCCTCGGTGGCGGCGCGCCCCTTCTCGCCCCAAGCCCCTGCAGGCTTTTTCGCGGCAGCGGCGGGTCTTTTGAGAGGCCCGCCCGTTCTCTTCGTCTTCCTCTTGGACCACGTCTCGTACATGGCATTCGGCACCTCCGTCTCCTTGTCGTCTCCGTGCACTTCGGCCGCGCACATGCCGTCGGGCCCCGGCGCCAACTTGTACTCTGCGGTCGTCGCGCCGATCTGCCCTATCACGAGCATGCGGTCGTAGTCGACAGTGAAAATCTCGAACTTATCGCTCTTCATCCTCTTGTCGCCCGTCTCGGCGGGAGGTTTCCTGGGGGCGGCGGCGCCGCCTGGCGAGGACGCGATGTCGATGGGGTCGCTCAGATGTGGCCCCAAGATCTTCGCGTTCAGCGGGATGCCCCTCGGAGCCTTCGCGTGGCGCGCATTGTAGATACATCCTGGGCCCATCGCGGACCCGCTGGCTGGGGTGCTCGGAGGCCGCGCGCGCGACGGTGATCTGCTCCTGCTGGGGTCCCTCGCTTTTATTTTTCATAGCTGCCTGCCTGCAGCCTCCCAATCTCACCGACCTGCCTCACTGCGGGGTGCACCCTTGGTCCGTCAACGGCCCCCCTCCACTCGGCGAGGACGCGCGAGAGAGCAGCCGGAAGCTGCCTCGCATACATGCCGGCGTCATCTCTGGGCGTGCCGAGCTTATGGGCGATCGCATCTCGCAGTTGAGGCTCCGAGATCCGTTGCGTGATCTGAATGACACCGCCCAAGAAAGCCATGTTGTTGACGACCACGTCATCCATGTCAGATGGGAAGATCGTCATTGCAAGTATCTCCTTCTGGCATGACTTCACCGAGTTCTCCACGCTCTCCACCGAAGCCGCGTTCTTCGCCCGTTCCTCGGCCATGATACGACGCGCAAAAGAAAAATGCGATATTGGATGAAGATTGGATGGGCTGGAACCGCGACGGCTGTACGGATCGCGCGGTTTCCTGTGCCTCCTCTGTTCCCTCCTGCACAGGAGGGGCGACGGACCCGACGCCAGCGATTTTTGCGAACATGCAGACTATGTTGGAAAAGCTTGTTTGCGCTAATCAGGAAAAGCTTGTTTGCCTTAATTGATGAAGGAACTCAATTCCTAATTCGCGCAGGCAGGACCCTCAAGGCAGGGTCGAGCTCGCCGAGTCGGAGCCGCAGCCGCCCGCGCCGGCGGCGCCGCCGCTCCCGCCAGCCGGGGGCCACGCAGGAGCGCCGGCCGACGAGGCCATTGGTCTGGCCGACGACCTCGTCATCGCCGGCGACCCGCCCATCGTGGAGCACGCGGAGCGCCCCTGCCGCTGCCGCTCGGGGCCGCGGGCCCCCCTGACCCTGAGATCTTGGAGTCGCAATTTAATTGAGCCGTCAAAATGGCTCAATTTTTCCGAGCTGATTCAATTTTGTGGTAGCAGCTTCAGCTGGCTCAATGTTTGTGATTCTGGCTCAATTTCTGTCAAGATGGTTCAATGTTTGTCACGGCGGCTCAATTTACACCAAAATCGCAGAATCCACCACTCTGGTAACCATTCAGTTTTCGGGCCCTCGTGGGCCAGCCAGCACGCGCGCGCACGCGCGCGCAAGCCCACCCGCAAGCGCTCGCGCGCGCGCGCCATACGTAGGATGCGTAATGTTCTCGAATATTTGCATGTGGGCTTGGAAACCCAAGTGAGCCATCAACGGTCAGCTAGATTTCGGGTGACACGCCCGCGCGCGGGTCTCCCGATTGCGCGCGCGCGCGGACGCGCGCGTGGCAAGTCTCAAATATTGACCATATCATGGAAAACTCGCAGGCCTGGAAACTAAAGCGAACCTTAAAACGGTAAGCAGCGGGATTTCGATCGTGCGTGGTCCACCCGATCGCGCGCGCGCGCGCGCGGACGCGCGCGTGGTATCGCCGCACAAGGTAAGCTGCCATCTTGATCTGGAAACTAAAGTGAACCCTTAACGGTGGCCAACGGGATTTCGGGTGACCCGCCCGCGCGCGGGTCACCCAATTGCGCGCGCGCGGACGCGCGCGCGCGCGGACGCGCGCGTGGCGAGTTTTGTATTGTGCACAATTTAAAAAAATAGCCATGTTGGCCTGGAGACTAAAGTGAACCCTTAACGGTGACAGATTGGATTTTGAAATTAACATGCGTTTTCTTATATTTTCACAAATGAAAGAGTCGCCATGCACGCCTGGAAACTACAGTGAACCCTTAACGGTGATCGATTGGATTTTGAAGTTAACCTGCGTTTTCTTATTTTTTCCAAGCGCCACGTTGGCCTGGCAAGGTCAACGAACACATATCACTGTAGCCAACGAGATTTCGGGTGACCAACCCGCGCGTGGGTCACCCGATCGCGCGCGCGCGGACGCGCGCGTGGCGAGTTTTGTATCGCCGCACACGGTAAGCTGCCATCTTGATCTGGAAACTAAAGTGAACCCTTAACGGTGACCAACGAGATTTCGGGTGACCCGCCCGCGCGCGGGTCACCTGATTGCGCGTGCGCGCGGACGCGCGGACGCGCGCGTGGCGAGTTTTGTATTGTGCACAATTAAAAAATGTAGCCATGTTGGCCTGGAGACTAAAGTGAACCCTTAACGGTGACAGATTTGATTTTGAAGTTAACATGCGTTTTCTGATATTTTCACAAATGAAAGAGTCGCCATGCACGCCTGGAAACTAAAGTGAACACTTAACTGTGATCGATTGGATTTTGAAGTTAACATGCTTTTGCTGCTATTTCACACATGGAAAGTAAAAGTCACTGTGTTGGCCTGGAACCGAAAGTAAACCTTTAACGGTGGCCGATTGGATGTTGACGCTAACATGCGTTGCAATTAATTGTGTGATCTGGCGAAAATAATACAGCCACGTTAAAGGGCACCATTCGCGGTTACCGATTTGAGTTTCACTTAGGTGTCTTCCGTGCGCAAGCGACTTCAAACATAATGCACCGCCGCGCGTTGGTTTTCACGAGTTAGTTTCGCTATTGTTGTCGGTCATCCTTCTCCCCCTCCTCCTCCCCCCCCTCGCCCTCCCCCTCCTCCTCCTCCTCATCCTCCTCTCCCCCCCCTCCGCTGTATAGAGGTCCTTCTCTTCTTCGCCTCTCCCCTGGTTCCCATCATTAGCCTCGCAGTCGGCCCCGCCCTCGCCCCCCCCCCCCCCTCGCGCTGGGCGCGCGCGCGCTCGAGCGCGCGCGCGCTCGGCGCAGCCTTCAGGGCCGCCCTCGAGCGCGGCTAGCGCGTCGGGCGCGCCCGCGGGGGCCCGCAGCCGCGCGCGGCGACGCTGCGAAGGCGCGGCGGGGGGGGGGGGCGGGGGGGGGGCGCCAGGACGCCAGCCATGTCCTACAATCCTTCATCTCGCGGCGCGCCCGTGCGGAGCCTGGCGCGGGATATGCGCCCGCTAGGATGTGGGCGTCGACCCTGGAATCGGGCCCCGCGCCAGGCCCCCATGGGCGCGCCGGGGGATGAGGAGCTGGCGTGGCGGTTCGACGCGGCGTTCGAACGGGCGGGGCCCCCCGCGTGGGGCCCCGAGGAATTGGTCGACGTTGTCGTCGTCGTCCTCCTCCTCCTACCCCTCCTGCTCCTCCTCCTCCTCTAGTTTCTCCAAGATTTTCCTCCTCGATCGAGGGCTCCTCCTCCTCCTTGAGCTCCTCATTGTCCAGGCCCTTCTCCTCGTCGAGCCCATCTTCCCATCCTCGTTATCCTCCTCCTCCTCCTCCTCTTCCTCCTCCCCCTCATCGCCGCGTCCTTCTAGGGCGTCCCCAAGCCCATTGTTCTGTCGGGGCGCCTGGGCGCCTCGCCATCGAGGAGAGCCTGCAGACTAGCGCGCTGGCGCTTCGTTCGGGCACGCGCGCCCCACCGTGCCCTGCTGAACGCCTCCACGACCCAATCCTCCCCGATCGTCCTCCTACCCTGTCGTCGTCTCCCTCGACCCGCCTCGATCAGCATATGCACCCCCCCCCCCCCCCCCCCCTCCCCTCCCCACCAAACCTTTCCCCCCCCCCCCCCCCCCCCCTCCCTCTTGGTCCCGGGCCATGGCGACGCCCCCCGCCGCCAGAAGACCGCCGAGCTGCATGACATGCCAGCGCTGGCGCAGGCGCAGCGCGCGGGGGGGGGGGGATTGGAGAGGGCAAAGGAGATTCGAAGGAGACGGTCGCGGAGACGCCAGGGGAACTTGACGAGGAACGGGTGGCGAGGGGGGGAGGAGGGAGATCGACGGGGGGCGGGGGTGTGGAGGGCGAGAACGGAAAAGGGGAAGGGGGGCGCACGGCGGGGAGGGGGCATCTCCCCTCTCGCGGCGCCAGGCGCTGACCGCGCAGATCGACGATGAGACGGCCCCCATGATCCAAGGCCCGAAAGGGGGACGAGGCGGATAAGGACGAAGTGAGGATGATGAAATGATGTTGGGGACATGTGTTAAGTACGGAGATGGGGGGCACTCGGGTAGCAGCGCGAAGGTTCAAGGGGGAGTCGATGGGGAACGAGATGACGAGGAACCCAGCGATGAGGGCGACAAGGGCAAGCAGGAGGTTAAGATGAGGTGAATGCTAAGGTGTATGATGAGATGTGGGATGAACAGGGTAGGAGGACGATGTAAGAGCGAGGGTAAGGATGTGCACATATGAGAGGAAGGTTAGGATGAGGGTAAGGATGAGGATGAGGGTAAGGATGGGGATGATAATGAAGATGGAGGTGAGGAGACATCAGTGATGAGGATGAGGATGAGGATGAGGATGGAGGTAAGGATGAGGATGAGGGTGAGGACGGGGATGAGAGACTCCATGGGTCGAGAAATGGATCGGTGATGGCCCCGATCGCGAGGCTTCATGAACATCCCGAACTTCGCGCGCTACAGCGCCCCGCGGGGCAACACGCGGCCCATCGTCGAGCAACTGGCGGCGCCTGGCGGACGGGGGCTCGCAGCAGATCTCGAGCAGAAGGGGGGTAGCGAAGAGGAGACAGATGAGGAATGAACGCCGAGCGGAGCGGAGGGTCGAAGTGACGGCAGAGGACGGTGTCATCGTTGTCGTCATGATCGCCGTCCTGACCGTCGCCATGGCTCACGGCGACGCATTGTCAAGAAGACCGTCACAACGACGGTCACGATGACGATCGCGACGACCGCGATGGCACTGGCGCAGGCGCCATCCAGGAACGATCGAGGATGCAAGCGAGGGGGGGGGGGGGGGGGTGCGAGGCGTTCGAGCGCACCTACGCGGCCATGGACAGGATCACCAAGGGCAGACGCTTCTGTCAGAGCAACATGGAGGCCCATCGCGGGGAGGGAGGACTAGAGAGATGGAGGAGGCTGGCTTCCTTGAGGATGGGAGGGGGGGGGGGGGGGAGGGGGGCAGGGCAGGACAGAGGGGAAGGGAGGAGAGCAGGAGGTACGGGGAGCAATGAGAAGAGGAGTATCAGATGAGGAAGCAGCGGGGGGAAGAGGACTGGTTACGGTGAGGGCGAGTGTCGACGATGATGGTGATGGGTGTCCATCTCCAGGGTTGCTGGATAAACATAAGATAGCCGTGCGCGCAATTTGGTAGGGGCCAGCACTGGCCCGAGTGCTGATCCCTACCAAAGTGGGTGTCCTGCATTCAGCGTCGCAGTGCCATGTTTTCAGACTGTGCGAATGAGAGTCGTCTTCGCAATTATCTCTCACCCGTCGCCGTTGCCCCTCGATGCGGATGTTGATGATGGTGATGAGGGTGAGGCCGATGATGGCGATAGTGGTGGTGCTACTAATGATACTGATTCGTGTGGTGACGATGTTGCCGACGAGCGAAAGCGATGACGGCGACGGTGATGCTGCGTGTTGCAATGGCGGTGACGATGCAAACCAGTGTGGTCCACGACAAAGCTGCTGATGTTAGTGATGGTCATGA